AAAAAAAAAAAAAAAAAAAAAAAAAAAAAAAAAAAAAAAAAAAAAAAAAAAAAGAGCGAGAGGTGCATGCGGGTCTGTAACGCTGGCGGAGGCTGCGGAAGGGCTGTCCACAGGTGCGGCACAGGCGGCCTCACTCGAGGTGAAGCCTCAAGCCAACAACAGTCCTGAGCCAGTGTTTGGTTGTCTCTTCTGGTCCCATGGGATAAACACCCACGACAATTGGCACCCAGAATCAGGCAAGTCTCGCCAAAAAGCCGAAGAGATGATTGTGATGATGGACACAGTTGTCACCCAAAGGGACTGTTGCAGCCAAAATGACCCATGAGCACCTGGTTAAATACACTAGACACTGAAACACTCCAGCAGCTGGGACAAAACCGAGTAGCAAAGGACACCTGACAACAGGTAGATGCCCATAAGGCCCCTTATCTGGGAAGAGTCTCACTGTTGGCTACGGAGCGCCCACCTGTAGTGTAAATAAGTGTGTGTGCACGTGAGTGCGTGTGCACATGGGTATGTGTGTCTGTATGAATGTTTATGTGCGTGTGTGCAAGCGTGTGTACGCATGCTTACGTGTGTGCACAGAAAGGAGCAGACCAGACTGTCCAGGGCAGTTCTCCCTGGGGGAGGCTCACGGGTGATTTTATTTTTTCTTTAAACTACCTTGCTTTTTCCGCTTTCTGGATGGTGAACATCTGCCTATGACTTTCATAACCAAAAAAAAAAAAAAAAAAAAAAAAAAAAGGGACCTGGCAGCAGCTGGTGGGGACAGAGGACCAGGCGGGCTTGGGTTGTGAGTGTGAGCGTGTGGCATGGGCTGCCCATTGGCCCCAAAGAACCCACACGGCCTGCTCCCACAAGGGCTGCCTGAGTCGACCAGGGCCTCCAGAGGGCCTTTGGGGGTTTCTCAGAGTGGATCCCAGCCACAGGGATAGTGACGTCCCTGGGGTCCGCTGTGCAGCATGCTCCCTCAGAGAAGCCGGAACCCACCTCACCCTGGACACACCGTGGTCCCCGAATCAGGGCAACACCCCAGCCGGTGTGAAGTCCTACCTCTTGCTGGCCTCCTCCAGCTCGGCTTTCAGTTTCCCCATCTCAATCTGCAGCTGGGCGCGCTCTCGGGCCGTCTCGTCCAGCACTCTCCGGGCATCTGCCAACTCTGACTCATACAGCGCCTTGATGCCGCTCACCTGGGGAGACCCGAGCCCAGGTAAAGGCCGTGGAGAGACCCCTCTCCATCTCTGCCAACAGTGGAAGCCTGGGGGGCCAGCTGCTGTCAACGCTCAGATGCCCCAGGGCTCAGTGCACAGAGCAAGAGGACCACAGAGCAAGAGGACAACAGTGCAGGGACAGACGTGACACACACAGCCCCTGGCAGGGAGGGGCAGGCACCAGTCCCTCAGGAGCCCCTTCCCCTGACCAGGCAGCACCTCGGTGCTGGAGCCAGAAGGCCCTGCATTCCATCTGGGTCCCAGAGCTTGGTCCACCTTGACCAAGTCTGTTCCCTCAACCAGAGAATGGGCCTCAGCCCAACCTCCCAGAGTGGCGAGGACCGGCCACACCTGGACAATCAAGCACCTTAGCTGTTGTCATAGCTACATAAGCCACAGTCATTATGTACCTTTCTCACGTTTCCAGTTTCCGAAATCAGAAAATTGGTGGGAATGTCTAATTGAGAATTTCTCCCCCTGGGTGCTGTGGACATTTGGGGTCGGATCCTTCTCTGCAGCCGGGCTGTCCTAGGCACTGCGGGGTGCTGAGCAGCGTCCCTGGCCTCCATGGCTCCACGCCTGGAGCTCCCCCAGTCCTGACAACCATAAATGTCCCCAGACATCGCCCAATGTCCCACTGCCCCAGTTCAGAAGTACTGGTCTAATATAAATCCATGCTTCCACTACACACGTGTGTGCATATGCACAGGAATGTACACAAGCAAGCACATGTGCCGGGGCTCTCCATGGAGGATGTGCCTGGCCTCCCCTTGCTGCTCCCTTCATTCCCCAAGCTGGCAGTGGGCTAATGTAGTCTGTATGGGGGCTCCTGGCAGAAGCTCTTGCCCCTTGCTCACCAGGGTCTGGGGTCAGTGCCCCCAGCTGTCCCCACAGAGCAGGCCCAGTTAGCAAGCCTGGGAGGGCGGGTGGTGCTGGGAAAGCTCAGGGCCTCTGGGGATGCCCGGAGGAGGACAGCCCCCACAGCCAGCTGTTTTGATGTCAAGTTCAAAGCCCAGTGGGTGAATGGAGCCAGGCCCGCCTAAACCCGGTCCTAAGGAGGTGCCTTTGAGGGCACTGGGATGTGTGTGCAGCCCCCTGAAAGGCAACTCCCTCAGTTCCTAATCCTGCTGCCACTTAGCCGCCACGTGCCCAGCCTCCCCACGTGCCGTCTGTCCTACGTGGGTCACACACGCCAACTGGGAGCACAGCTTGTATTCCTAGTTGGTCTCCTCCCCATCTATGTGCACAGGGCTAAGCACTTAATGTGTTTAAAATATGTGGATGGGCCGGCCCGGTGGCGCACTGCTACAGTGCGCCGCTTGGGAGTGCGGCAGCGCGCTCCCGCCAAGGGTTCGGATCCCGCATACAGACCGGTTCCTGCTCACTGGCTGAGCGAGGTGCGGGCGCAACACCGAGGGTTGTGATCCCGTTGCTGGTCCCGGTCCGGTACGGGTGCGACACTGAGGGTTGCGATCCGTTGCCGGACACGAAAAAAGAGACAAAAAGGAAAAAAAATTAAAAAAATAAATAAAAAAAATAAAATATGTGGAAACAAACCTCTGTGAGACGCCACTTCACAGCCACTAGGACAGTCATCAAAAAGACAGACAATCACAGGTGCTAGCGAGGAGGTGGGGAAATGGGAACCCTCACAGGCAGCTGGTGCGGACGCTGCGGAAAGCAGTCCGGCAGCTCCTCCAAAGGCTAAACATGGAGCCACCATATGACCCTGCAATTCACTCCTAGGTACACACCCAAGAGAACTGAAAATACACGTCCACACAGAAAAGTGTGCATGCATGCTCATGGCAACGCTGTTCACAACAGCCTACAAGTGGAAACGACCCAAGTGTCCATCCACAGATAACAGACACACACAGTGCAGACCATCCACACACTGGAACGTTACTCGGCCATGAAAAGAAACCACGCTACGACATGGACGACCCTTGAACATGTCACACCCCACGAAAGGCTCCAGACACAAAAGTCCACATGGTGTGTGACTGCATTTACATGAAATGTCCAGAACAGGCTGATCCACAGAGACAGAGAGTGGATTTGTGGTTGCTGGGGGCTGGGGGAGGGGGTGGGAGTGACTGCTGATGGGGACGGGGCTGCTGTTTGGATGTGCATGTTCTGGAACTTGAGAGAGATGATATACACAACTCTATGAATATGCTAAAAATCACTGAACTGCACACTTTATTTACTTATTTTTGGCAGCTGGCCGGGACGGGGTCCAAACCCTTGACCCTGGTGCTATAACACGGTGCTCTAACCAGGTGACGAAACGTATACTTTGAATGAATGATTCGTATGGCATATGGATTATATCTCAATAAGGTTGTTATATACAGAGAGAGATATATCTATAAACACACACAGGGGTTCTTCAAAAAGGTCGTGGAAAAATGGAATTAAAACATAATATGAGTCCGTGAACTTTCTGAAGTGCTCTCATGTATGCACACCATATGTGAAAAAAATCAGATATTGGTGATGGTTGCACAGCTCTGAATATACTAAAAACACTCAACTGTACAGTTTAATTGGGTGAATCGTATGACATTAAGTGTTAACTCCTATATTGCACCTGGTGCTGACAGAGAAGACAGGACGAAGGTGACAGACAGAACCACGCCCTGCGTGGCCACTCAGCAGCTGTGCCACGTCCAGAAAGCTGCAGAAGAACGGTGAGCGTCTGTGTTCAGAGGGGGGGAGGTCAACTTAGATCCCAGGAGGGTCACCCCCTCCATGTTTTACAGACAAGACACAGAGCAGAGGAGGAAAGGGGGGCTACCAAAGAAACGCCTCTTGGTAGCGTGACCAATCATCCTGGTTTGCTCGGGACCAAGGGGACACCCAGACGTGGGACTCAGCATTCAAACCAGAACGTCCCAGGCAAATCCGGAGGAGGTGGGATTAAACAGCCAGCCTGAGACTGCCCCCCCACAACCCAGCAGCTCTGACTTATTTCATCCTACAGATGGGGCAAGAACAGTTCCTAGTCCCACTTCACAGATGGGGTTATCGAGGAGGCGCAGAACAGTAAAGGGCCTTCTCCTGGCCACTGCTGTACAGGGCACATCAAGCTTGCTGAGGGCCAATTCCATGATAGGGACATACAGGGGTGAGGGGGCGCAAAACAAGCCCCTCCCTCCTGTGCCATGGGAGCCCCCTCTAGCCCCTCCCTCCCACAAAGGGTCACCTGTGGCCACACCGTCAGTCCCCAACCTCCAGCTGACTTCTGGAATAAATTCTGCCAACTTCACTCTGCAAACACACCATGCACCTCTGCCCTTTGTCCCGCCATCTCAGCTCCCCAAACCCCCCAAGCCCAAGGGAGGGTCTGAGCAGACACCCTGACGCAGGGGTCACTAACAAGACCTCCTGTCTCCTGAATAAGGTATGGATGTTAGTTGATAATATCATCTGTTTGGTTTTAATAAGGTGGTTATCTATGCCATGTCTGCAAACTCCAGCCCATGGGCGAGCTCTTTTTATCCAGCCTGCAAGCCCACAAGGGTTTTTCATGTTTAAATGTCTGGGGGAAGAAAGAAAAGAAAAAGATATTTCGTGACACAGCAAATTATATGAAATCCACATTCCAGTGTGTATAAATAAAGCTTTATTGGCACACAGCCTAGCCCATTTCTTTATATATTATCTAAGGTGACGTTCGCTTTGGACAGACCACCTGGCCTGCAAAGACAAAAATATTGACTCTCTGAACCTTTTCAGAAAATGTTTGCCAACGACCACCAATTCACTGTGGTGATCTAGAAGATTCAGGCCCAGAGGCGGGTGAGTGTCACAAAGGCCCTTTCAGCCCTGGAACAGGTGTGTCCCGGCAGGACCTCACCCTACACTTGTGGGGGTGCTGCAAGGGAGATTTAGGCAGGCTGGGACTTTTGTTTTGTCTCTTACGGCATCCTGCAAGTGCCAAGCCTGAGGAATCCCAACAAATGTGTCAGTACACGCTGGCCTGGGGGGTGGGGAGTTTCAGATAACCTGAGGTGGACTTTTCCTGGGGTTCCTGGGGGACAAAATCGCCCTGGCCAAGAACTACAGCTCTGCGGGTCAGCTCCGAAGCCGCTTCCTTCCACCAAGCCCCCCTCCCCCCGTCCCCTCGGGCAGACCTGAGCAGCAACTGGACACCAGGGGTGGGGGAAGGGAACAGAAACTGAAGCCAAGTCTCCTCCCTCAAGGAACTTCACACCTGGCAGGGGCAGGCTCCCTGGGGCACCTGCACCCTGGGAACCTCCCTCCCCACAACCCCAGCACCCATTGATCTTTCTCCAACAAACATCAATCACTCTGGCCGGCCCCCAGCCCTCTGCCTTCCCTGAAAACCCTCCAGTGATGTTTGCACGTTAGCCATTCACCACTGCACCATCCATGCCACCAAGAAAGGCATCCACTAGCCTCATGCGGGAAATGGTTTTGCCCCTAAGTGTGAAAGGTGTGGACAGGGATCCCAAAAGCGGTCAGGACAGCAACAACATGCAAGACGGGGGGCGGGGGCTTTAGTTTCACCTTACGCACCCCGACGGTTTGAGCTGAATTATAAGCTTGTGGAACGCTTATAAAACTTTAAATGGCATCTTCTAAGAACTTCTCGTGTGGCTTCCCATCCTCTCCAGCAGCGTTTCTCAACCTTGACACTAATGACACGCAGGCTGTGTTGTCCTGTTTCTGGGTGCTGGGCAGCACCCCTGGCCTCCACCACCCAGATGCCACTATCACCTCCCTCCAGTCAGGATGACCACAAATGTCCCCGGACTTGGCAAGTGTCCCCTGGGGGTAGAATCAAGAGCCCACTCCTCTGTGTGACACACTGGGGTCCCTCTCAGGAGGAACCCCTCCCCAGCATCCTGCCTGTTCACTGCCACTTCCTGCTGACCTCTGTCTAGAAAGTCCCCCAATGAAGCCCCCAGCCATGTGACTGCACTCCCCAGCAGCCAGGGTTCCTGGACAATTAGCACTGGCTGGAACTCCCTGGCTGTCTGCTGTGACCGGCCCTGCAGACACTCAACACTCACAGCGGGTGACAGGGCAGGAGTGATGGCCCGGGCACTTAGGCCCACAGGGGGCAATCTGTCATCACAGCACAGCATCCCTTGCTCCCACTGCTGCCCCAAGTAAGTCCCCCATTCCAAGCAGCCTTAGCGAGCTGAGAAGAGACAATGCCACTGCCCAGACAGGAGGCAGCCCGGTCAGCTTCCCTCTCAGGTCCGGCGGAGCCTTGCCAGGCCTAGCACCCCCAAAGATCCATGCAGCTATTAACCTCACTTGCAGGTGGGACGGCAGAGGTCCAAAGACGACATGGAGCCAACTCAAACCCCGTGTGCCGACCAGCCCCGCAGGCAGGAATGGGACCCGCGTGCTGGGGATGCTGCTGAGGCAGGTGGTCACTCAGAATTGACCCGGGACAATTCTGTCCTTGCTGGACAGAAGGCAGAACAGAGGCTTCAAGAGACTGAGTGGCCTGCCCAAGGTCACACAGATCAAAATGCAGGAGGCCCAATGGGAGACCCTAGGACAGCACCATTCCACGGGACCCCCACCTCCCTGAAGACACAGCCGTCCCTCTACCAGGCACTATGAAGCAGTGACAACAGAGCCCATGGAGGGCTTCCTCTGGGGTGCTGTCCTTTGCTGTGTCGCTTTTATTTTACAAAACAGAAACAACTCCAAGAAGTGGGTGTTACCATTACGCTCAGGTGAGAATACCGAGACCCACAGGGGTTAAGTGACTTGCCCAAGGTCACACAGAAGGGTCGTGACTCCCAGTAACAACCACCCCCCAACTGGTCTCCTCCCAGAAGTCCACCACTTTGCCCATTCTCCAGATGGGGAAGCTGAGGCTCCAAGCAGTAAATCCTGACTTCAGAGCCTGCCTCTCAGAAAGGGACCCTGGGACATGAGGACCCCGACCCACCAGCAGGAACCAAGTGGTGGGTGTTTCCCCACCCCCCCCTTACTCTGAAGACCTGCCCTTGGGTTGGGTGTGGGCAGCAGGGGGGAGGATTAGGTTGTCAGCCAGAGTCCCCACCCCATGACAGATGTCACTCAGGACTCCCAGACACCCTGGCCTCATGTCCCCCTGGGGGTGGGGCTTCACTAGCCCCCTCTCTTCTCAGTCTGCACTAAAGCCCAGGGCCCCCAGGAACCCCAAACTTCCTGCTGGATCCAAGACCTCATGTCACCACTTCTTTCATATTCTCTCAGGGGCAGGTCCTACCAGGCCACCAGTGTCTTCAGGGCCCAACTAAGGGCCTCCCAGATTTCTCACGAGACCCCAAGGTGTCAGAATTCCTCCCTCAGCACCCCCCACCCCTGCCTGGGTGGAAGATGGTGCCCAGGTCCCAACTCCCATCCCAGTCACCGACCTCCCCAGGATTCATCACAGGACCCAAAGCTCCAAGGTGGACTGAGACCAGGGACCCTGTAAGCCCCTCCACTTCTCCTCAGGCCCCCCTCAGAGGGTGAGAGCCCCCAGTCTCCTTAGAGACCAGAGACTCTCCCAACATGCCCCCAGAACACCCAAATACCCACACTCATCACTGGAGACCCACACACAATCCTTTAGGGGCGGGGTCTACACTGGATCACACAGCCCCAGCATGGAGGGGGGGTTCCCTTAAATCTCCTTGGAATCCTATGAGGAACAAGACACACCTGAGACTGCAATCTGAAACTCAGGGGCTCCCCAATCCCGCAGGGACTACTCGTTGGGTTGAGTGCCCCAGTCTACCTCCCTTTTCCAAGGGCCCCCAAATTCTCTGGAGACTCCTCTCTGCAGCCTTCACTCTGAAGGGGGAAATCTCCTGGACCCCTCAGTGAGTGGGGCCTGCTCCATCTCCACCTCTCAACAGAAATCTGGGGACACCCCAGAGGACCACTGCCTTAGTCTGCACCCCATGCTCAGGGGGTTGCCTGAGATTGCTTTGGACCCCTTGTTGAATGCAGCCTGCCCAGCCTGCACTCCATACGCAAGGTCCCCCCCAAACTCCCTGGGGACCCCCAGAGGATAGGGCCCATCCCAGTCTCTACTGCTGGCTCAGCGGTCCCCAAGATCTCAGTGGGTGGGGACTGCCCAGTCTGCACCCCTCGCTCAGAGACCCCCCAAAGCCACCTGCGGAGTCCCCCAGAGAACAGCCCCCGGGCCTGCACCCCCAAAGCCCCCTGGAGGTCCTTGAGAGACAGGGCCCACTTTGTCTACACCATGGGGGGTTCCTCTGAAACTCCCTGGGGACCTCCAAGAGGACCAGCCCATGACAGTCTCCATTGCTCACTATGGTGTCCCTGTCATCTCTGGTCCCTTGGCGGATAGGGCCTGTCCTGCCTGCACTCCTCACTCAGGAGTCCCTAGAAGCCACCTGGGGACCTCCAGAGGACAACTTCCCACCTGTACCCCTCCCTCGGGGACCCACAGAAGTCCCCCGGAGACCCCTGAGAGGACGCGGCCTGTCCGGTCTGCACCCCTAGCCCAGGGACCCCTGAAATCCCCCGGAGACCCCTGAGAGGACGCGGCCTGTCCGGTCTGCAGCCCTAGCCCAGGGACCCCTGAGGTCCCCCGGAGACCCCTGAGAGGACGCGGCCTGTCCGGTCTGCACCCCTAGCCCAGGGCCCCCTGAAATCCCCCGGAGACCCATGAGAGGGCGTGGCCTGTCCGGTCTGCAGCCCTAGCCCAGGGACCCCTGAGGTCCCCCGGAGACCCCTGAGAGGGCGCGGCCTGTCCAGTCTGCAGCCCTAGCCCAGGGACCCCTGAAATCCCCCGGAGACCCCTGAGAGGGCGCGGCCTGTCCGGTCTGCACCCCTAGCCCAGGGACCCCTGAGGTCCCCCGGAGACCCCTGAGAGGACGCGGCCTGTCCGGTCTGCAGCCCTAGCCCAGGGCCCCCTGAGGTCCCCCGGAGACCCCTGAGAGGACGCGGCCTGCCGGGTCTGCACCCCGAGCCCAGGGCCCCCAGAAGGCGGGTCCCATCGCAGTCTGCCCCGCCCGCTCGGGAGCCCCCCAGGGGCCAGGGCCCGCCCCGGCCTGCCCCCTCGCGCCGGGTCCCCGTGGCCTCGGCCGCACCTCGCGCGTGGTCACCTCCTCCTTCTCGGAGATGCGGAGCAGCAGCCGGTCGTTCTCGAGCTCGAGCGCGCGGACGCGGTCGATGTAGTGCGCCAGGCGGTCGTTGAGCTCCCGCAGCTCCTCCTTCTCCTGCAGCCGCGACAGGCGCGTGGGCGACAGCGGCATGGCGGGCCCGCCCGCGCGGCCG